AGGTATATCCAAAAAAAAAAGAAAAAGAAAAAGAAAAAAAAAGTGGGCCTCATTTGATTTAGACTTCATACTTAACACTAAAATGAGGGACAAAAGGTGCATAAATGTATAATATGATGTCGCACTAACAAGATTCTTGGCCAAAGTACTAAAAAGATACGAAATAGATGTGATTCTTGTTTGTTATGTAGTGAGGTTAACTTAGACATTGCAAACACACAAGAAGAGATCAGGACTACACAAGAGTGTGTGGTTTTTTAGGTGACTTTATATTATTTGTGCTTAATTAGTTGAATTTTGTAAGTTACTACAATAGTAATATTTGCATAGTTTAATCACATATTTACACACGAGAGTGACAATTACATTGAATATCAATTTCTCACAGATATAAATTAAGATATTAGAAATTTTTATTTTTAATTTAACAATGTAATAAATTTCTCACTTGAATTCAATCTTTGTTTTTCCCAATAATATTACTTTTTTATCATTTATTTGTCTTTCTTTTTAGTTGATTAATTTCATTATTCTCATCTTTCTTCAAATTGAAAAACTAGATTTAGAACACGTACTTTTATTAATTAATTCTTGATTTTTATTAATCAAAATACCATTCCATAAGTTTTTGTTAATCACTTGAATTCTTGTTTTTGTTGTAGGTTCAACACCGTAAGAACCTCCCTAAGTTTTTAATATCAAACTACGGTCCACTTTTAATCAAACTAAAAATTATGGTGCACTTTTATTCTAATTTATTTAATCAAACATGTCATGTAAACTGTAAGAAAAAAGTGAGAGTACACCCAATATTATTTCATTATGCTAGTTAATGAAAGAAAACACAGCATCCTGAGCCACACTTCACAAATATTACATTTCCACAAACAAATCCCAATGTTCATTTACTTAGAATATACATTTCTTGAATGACTAGGAAACTTATATTTTGTATTCTCAAACAATTGTTCTGCAATAATAGCCACATTACCATCAGCTCTCTTTATCTCCAAGTCAGCCTTCTGATACAAAGCAGTACCTCTTAGAGCATTTGAAATAGATCCAAATCCAAAGGCCATGGCAGCTTCTGCTTTGGCTCCGTAAACGAGCCTCTGCACCAGAATACCAAATAATGGATGAAATCAAGAAATGTGTAAACATGGGCAGTCATGATTTTAGTTGAAAAAACAGCAGGAAAAATGGTAACCTTCATTTGCGAGAACTGGATAGCAGAAAAGCACGGGCGGTTCAGATTTTTACATGTCTGGAATCAGTAAATGGTGATATAGAAGCTAAGGTAAGAGATTAAGACATTACATATATATATATATATATATATATATATATATATATATATATATATATATATATATATAGGAATGGAGGGGAAGGGTGATATGATATATGAAATTAATAACCTCTCTTATAGCTGTGAGCTCTGCATGAGCAGTAGGGTTAGTGTTGTTGAGTACCATGTTGTGGCAGCTAACAACAACTTCATCGTTGCAAACAATAACAGCACCAAATGGGTGTTATTCTTTTGTTTGTGTTATGGTAGAATTTACATTTATTAAATTATGAATTTTCTGTTATGAGATTATGAATTTACATTTATGTAATTATGAATTTTCTGTGCATTCATAATATCATAAAAGAAAATTCATAATTTCATAACAGAAAATTCATAATCTCATAAAAGAAAATTCATAATCTCATAAAAGAAAATTCATAATTTCATAACTGCACATTCATAAATCCATACCTGTACATTCATAATTTATAAGTGTTGAAGAAACTTGCGCGAAGAGAAAGTGAAACCGCAAAATGTGAATATGAAGAAGAAAAGTCGCGCTGTTTAAAAAAAAAAAAAAAAAAAAAAAGAAAGAAAGATTGGTGGAAGATAACGGTGCCCATAGGCACTGTTACCGTTTGGAACCGTGTTCACCATTTGAACATGGATGGTGAACACGATTCTATGACATAACAATGGTAGAAGAGGCCACTAGTCTTTAAAAATATAGAAAGTTTACTTTCATATAAATATTTTTCATAACTAGATCTCAAAATAATAGTTCATATATTCAAGTTAAATAACTATTATCATACATAACAAATATAAAACTCACAAAATAACACATGTTATAAATATAAGTAATAAATTACTTAATTAAGAATAAATTTCAAAATGGGAGAATGAACCTCTATGGCTCTATCTAACCATATATGACTCTTACTTTACCCATGATGGGCTCTATGTCCCTCGTTGCCATATACACTAAAAATTTTCCTATGCACACTTCATGCAAAGGTGCACTTCTTAAGGTTTAACCTTAGGTTGTGTTTCATCATCATTTCAAAAGTTTTAGCCGAATATTTGCTAAAGTTTTTCTTTTTATTAACATGTCATTCATATAGGTTTATATGATATTTCTTAATAGGTCTTTAAAGGAACTATTTATCATCCTTTGATAAGTGTTTTAAAATCGAACAGCATGACGACATAGCAAAATATGTTGTCTATTGTTACAAAAGATATTTTTTCCAAGTTTTCTTCTACTAAGAAATTTGAGTGATAACCTTGGATTGCATATATGAAGCTAAGTAACTCACAACTAGCCATTTCATCCAAGAAAATACTATATGTACTCTCATTTTCTACTCTCAACTTTTACTTTCACACACAAAATCTTGATGCAGACACTTGTATGGGGACCTACATGAAAAAAGTAGCTTATCAGTGCCCACCACATCATGGAGTAAAATTTTTAAAGAGTAAGATTTGGGAGTCCATGTAGTAGAACTCTTTTATCCAGTAGTTAATCTGGGCTTAATAGATGATATAGGTCTATTAGGCAAGCCATGTTGATGTTTGTGTAGCCTACACACATTTTCCATGTAGATGGTTTGGGTGCCAAAACTACATTGGTTACCACAAACTTAAGACTTTCGTTGCCTATCACTATGCCTTTGAGCGGTGGTACACTTTGTTTTAAAATTGTTTTTAATTTAAATTTTTATGAAAAGTCTATATAACTACCATTCTAGATTTTGTGCCAAACCCGTGACCTATGATCCCCTTCTTTGTTAGTCAGATACCTCATTTTCTACATAACAAGTGCTTCTCGTTAGGATTTACTAATAACCTATGAAAAATTATCTTCTTGTCTATCTCAGGCTTGTTATTAGGTTCCTATGCGAAGATCATATATCCGTGTAATCTCTTAGGATTTTGATGATTTTCTCCTTTATCTCTGGCCTAATATCTTTTCTTATCTTTACAGTTTAGTCAAAGAGATATGACTCAAGCATGATATCTTCTAGTCTTAATTATTCCAAAGTTCTGGCCTATCCTAGGTTACTTTAGTTCTTACTTACTATGTGATTTCATTCACCATATATGTGGTTAAGAACATCTATCTATGTCCAAGGAGTGTGTTTTTGTTTTGAAGTAGTAGTTCTCAACTCTTTTTGTTTTGTGTAGTACTAGATGTTTTTTGGTATCAATTTACTTTGAAGTACTACTTTGAAACTAGTTGTATGACTTTTGGGAACACTTGACTTATTCTGGATTTGGCAGTTAATATATGAAAGGTTTGGATATCTTATATTATGCACTACAGATTACTATTATATATGTAACATTTTGTTCATTTTCATCACAAAAACTAACACAGTACATTAAATTTTCCCTACAGATCAGATTACAGTTCAACATCAAACTAACTACATTTGTAGAGTAACTAACTACATTCAACACTAAACCTTTGTTAGAAAAATATACACATACATGCAGAGAATCATAATCGCTTTTTCATATATGATATATTCTATGTTATTGATGGGTTGAGCAATCTTACCCTTAAAGCGTGTATTAACCGAATCAAAACTTGAACTGTGCAATTGTCTGGCCTCTAATTCGTCCATCGGCCGGGCACATGAAAATTTCCAAAGATTTTACATGAAAAACTATTTTCTTTTTCTGTCAAAAATCTCTTCTCATCTCTGATCTTTTCAAAAAAAGGACAACACTATTTATATAGACTAGTTTGACCCCAAAGGGGCTAGCCTTAAAAAACGCAAAAGTACCCATATTGAATTAATTCATTAATTAATTATTAATATATTAATTCAATTTAGATAACTCCAACACTAACACAATATGTTATTGTAACTATATAAAAAGTCATAATTAACTTTTACAATTAGAGTTTTTGGTTAAATACCAAGGAACAAAAACGAGCTAGCAATTAATCAATTAAATCACATAGGTAAATCCAATACTACCACAATTTGTTATCAACATTAGTATGATTCCCTTCAGAAAGCGTTTGATTCATAGAATCTTAGATTATCCTAGCTAGGTAATAAGAACATTAATATGATCCTTTAGAAAGCGCGTTTGATTCATAGAATCTTAGATTATCATAGGTAATAGGATTGCTTCTAAGAAGGTAATGTGAGATTTTGAGAATTTAATATTATTGTGTGTGGTTCAGGGGTTATATATATATATATATATATATATATATATATATATATATATATATATATATATATATATATATGCACGAAATCAATGCACCGCATCAATCCACGAGTTCACATGTTAAGGTTGATTTGCACTAGAAACTCACCTTATATGTATATATAGGGGCGCACTCTCATGCGAACAGCCGCCCAGGAGAGAACTGAGAACCATCCCGCGCGCACCACATGTCCTTTGGTACATGTAAATGTGTTATATGTGCAAGTAGTTGGTGCACTTTTGTAAGTAAAAAGTGTAGGTAAAATCACTTACAAGTGCACATACTTTTACCTACAAGTGCATGTAATTTTACCTTGTTAACATTCATTGATCTGAGTTCGTTCTGTTTGGCATCACTTTTGTTCTTTCGGAGGATCGGAGTTAAGCGGTGTTAGTACCAGTGAAAACCACCCGCAAACATACATGCACCTAGGTGTATCTACTTATAACTATAAGTACACCTAGTTATAACGTCAGGTGCACTTAGATCTGGACACGTGGCGAGCGCTGGATGGTTCTCAATTTTTTCTTGAGCGGGCAGTTCGCACCTGAACGCGATCCTATATGTGTGTGTGAGGGAGAGAGAGAGAGATTATTATTATTATTATTATTATTATTATTATTATTATTATTATTATTATTATTATTATTATTATTATTATTATTATTATTATTATTATTATTATTATAAAGATTAGTAAAAAAAAGGTAAAGTTGGAATAATTCAATGTAATCTAAGATTACATGGAGGTAATCACATTACATTGAAATATTACCGCCACATCAGTTTTGAGGTAATATAACATTACTTGATAACCTCATAACTTAACTAAACATGGTAATATAACATTATTAACTCGATCTGATTACCCGAACCAAACGCTATCTCAAAAATTCTTCCAAGAAATAAGATATCAAAGTATATCACAAACAAATTAAATTCAAGTGTTCGTGTTTATTTTCCACATCAATTTACTCGTTACTCCATGACAATCTACATTAGTCCCCACCCCATCACTATTTAATGACATTGTCATTTACTTCTATTTAGAAATAAAAGTTGTTAGAATGACATTGTCACTTACTTCTACTTAGAAGTAAAAGTTGTTAGAATGACATTGTCACTTGTACTACAAGTAAAAATTGTTATGGTGACGACCACGTATTATCAAGTTTATGGTGATATAGGAAAGAGAGACAAGATGGGGTCGGTTGAATATTCCAGTGACGAGGCGATATGAATATATGATGTTGATCACCTCATGACACCAACCGTGAAAAGCAAATAATGATGGAAAAAGGAAAATGCAAAATGCAAAAAGCCTCAAAAGTCAAAAAGTAAATCGAATTGAAACCAAAAATAATTAGGGGGTGTTTGGTTCAAGGAGGTAATATGAGAAAGGTAATATTAGATTACCATGTTTAGTTTAGGTAATATGAGACGGTAAGTAATGCAATATTACTGTTACGTAGGAAATTGGAGTATATTTGAGGTAATGTGATTACCAAATTTTGGTTAGGTAATATGAGATTACTTTTCAATATTTCAAAATTACCCTCATTTATTTCCCTTCTATTCATTACATAGACCTCATTATTCAATTATTATTATTATTATTATTATTATTATTATTATTATTATTATTATTATTATTACAACCATCTTTTTAAATTTGGAATTATGAAAAAAAAAATTTACAATTTACACCTTTCAATTTCTATGAGGATAACATTCACTACTGGAAATTCTGAAATTTCCGACCACCTGAAAATGATCTTAAATTAAGTTGATACCAAAAAGTCCAAAAAGTGGTCGGAAATAGCAACAAAGGTTTTTCCGGATACCAAAAGTGATCGGAACAAGACTTTCAACTTGATTTAAGATCACTTTCAGGTGGTCGGAAATTTCAGAATTTCCAATAATGATTTAAGTAATTGATGTAATATAACCTAAAATATAACCTTCAACCAAACAAGTTAATGTTACATTACTATAACTTTAATCAAACACATCAGATAATTTTACATTCCTAAAATCTCACATTACTTACTTTCAGGTAATCGTATTATCTGGGGTAATCAAAGATTCCGTGAACCAAACGCCCCTTAGGGTAAAGTACAAAAAATTCCCAAAATCAAGAATTACACACGGACACTGCTGAAGCATAGTACCAATTTCACATGCCACGTATCCATATCGATATGAATCCAAATCAATTTCACATGCCAACATATGAGTACTGAAAAGAATGAATTACGGAGTAACTTACAAAATATATATATATATAAAATGAACTACAAATATTAAATATAATTCTTACTACCCTTCTTCTCTCTTTCAAATCTGAAAACATCCACTCGTCAATGGAAGAAGCCAATGGTAAGATTTCTTGAATTCCCCAGTACACTGTGCTTTCAAGTTTTCACTGTTCAAAGCTCAAAAGGGTGTGTTCACATTTATTTTGCTATCCTGTTGATTGTTTGGACCTCTCACTTTTTTCTTTCTGTGTTGGTTGGTTATTTCTAGCAGCTACACAGGATAGAGATGAAAAATTCATGAGAAGAGCAATTGAAGAAGCTTATAAAGCTGTAGAATGTGGTCAAGGAGCCCCATTTGGTGCTGTTATTGTTTGCAATGATGAAGTTGTTGTTAGCTGCCACAACATGGTGTATAACAACACTGACCCTACTGCTCATGCCGAGGTCACAGCTATAAGAGAGGTTTGATATATCATATCAGTGTTACGTTCCCTTATGTAATGTCTTTGTTATGGAATATATATTTGATATATGAGATCTCTATAGATTTGGCAGTATTAGAGAATTAGGTAGGTAGACATATAGAAAACTTGTTTCATATTCTAGTCTTCTAGCACCTATTTATAGGACTTTGTATTCTCTTTTTTATATGACAGTTTGAAACAATATACGACAGCACATTCAGAAACTCTCCCTTACTGATTTCAGGCATGTAAAAACCTGAACCGCGTTAAGCTATCAGACTGCGAAATATATGCGTCTTGTGAGCCATGCCCGATGTGCTTTTCTGCTATCCAGTTCTCGGAAATGAAGGTTACCATTTTTCCTGCTGTTTCTTCAACTAAAATCATGACTGCCCTTGTTTATGCATTTCCTGATTTCATCCATTATTTGGTATTCTGGTGCAGAGGCTCGTTTACGGAGCCAAATCAGAAGCTGCCATTGCTGTTGGATTTGAATCTAATAGTATTATTTCAGATGCTCTAAGAGGTACTTCTTTGTATCAGAAGGCTGACTTGGAGATAAAGAGAGCTGATGGTAATGTGGCTATTATTGCAGAACAAGTGTTTGAGAATACAAAAGCTAAGTTTCCTTTTCATTAAGAAATGTGTATTCTAAGTAAATGAAGGTTGGAATTTGTTTGTGGAAATGTAATATTTGTGAAGTGTGGATCAGGATACTGTGTTTTCTTTCATTAACTAATATGATGAAATAAATAATATTGGGTGTACTCTAACGGTTTACCTTGACATGTTTAATTAAATAAATTAGAATAAATTGGATAGGAATGTGCTTGTTGTTCCTATCTCTATTGGGGATTCTAAATCTATATTTAGTACCCAATGGAAGAGTCTTAAATTCTTTTACTGGTTCTTTAATTCTAAAAATTGTAGAAGTTCTTGTTTGTGCCCAAGATTGGATGAGGTTGGCAAATTAGTCAATCACAATTAGGGATGAGCGCGGTTCAGTTGCAGTTCTGAACCGTTGGATTACGATTCTGGAAAATGATAAATTGGAATTGACGGTGGTTCTAGTTTGAACTGCTAATTCGAACTTTTATTTTGATACATTTTTAGCCTTTAGGTCATTTTCTTTCTCTCTCTGTTCAAAATGGGAACCGATCGGCTTTGACCTAAAACTTATTGGGTTCTGTTTCGATTTTTACCATGCCTGATAGTAAAGGTTTTTTCTATCCTTTTACTTTTTGTTTTCATTATTGCCTTTTAAAATTTTAATTTTTTTTCTCACTTTTCATTTGTAGAGTTGACCAATGGACTTGGCAACATTTTAAAGCAATACTCAAAAGGCAAAAACTCAAAATTGATGTACTATATATATGTATAGTAAGGGCATCTTCAATAGTGGGAGATTTTACCTCAAATTTTTATGGGTCCCAACATTCATCTCATCATCCATTATCTCACTCAATCACAAAAACTCTTCTTTAAATTTTTTTTCAACTTTTTGTAGACACACTATTTTATCTCCATATTTTAATTTTTTTTTCGTCTTAATCCTCCTTGTTATTCTCACCTGGGCCCCACTGTTTTAATATAATTCACAGGAAACTTTGTTTTGCAGGTCCCACTTCTCACCTGCTATTCCCTTTTTTTGAAAAGTTTTGCAAAATCTTCCGCTTCCATTTGTGAAAAACTCATTCAAGGGATTTTATTATTCTAAAACTTTGCCTTTGATTCTATAAGAGCATTCTCATTACTTGATTTTTGTTGTGTTTTGTGAGGTTAAATGTGAAGTGGAAGAGAGAGACAAGGAAGAGAGAAGGTTTGAGGTCTTGCGGGAAGATTTGATTGTTTATCTTCATAGTGGACCCCACCAAACCCTAAACCATGTCCTCTTGCAAGAACTTCAAAAAAATTATAAATTATAATAGTGAATTAAACAGATGCCATGAAGGCATAATTGTCTAAACAAGCCAAAAATCACAAACTCATGAACTGCAATCCATGACAGACTTGTCTTAAAAAACTACCAACGTATACCCAAATTAAATGAAAAGATGACATACAGACATGATAGTCAAAATATGAAAGTATAGAGTTTTTTTCCAAAATGATCCCTTGACTATCGCTCATTCTTAATTTTGCATTTCGACTTTTAATTGCACCCAATGTGGTCCCTTGACTTTTAAAAACTCCCCCAAATCGGTCCTCCGTTAGAAATTCCGTCTATTGAGTGTTAAAATGAAGGGCATTTTCGTCCGTTTACCTATTATATGCCTAATATACTCTGAAAAATAGTCGAGGGACCATTTTGGGAATAGTCGAGGGATCATTTTGGGAAAAACTCATTTATTTATTTCATTTTTGTTTATTTCCATTTTTTAAGACTATCAAATTAGAATTTCTATACATTTTTTTTCTTACAAATATAAATAGTTAAAATCCACAATCAAAAGTCAAAATTTTAAACTTTCTCTACAAATTTTTTCCTTCTATCTAAACATACCAACTTCCCTCTATTCCTATCAAATTTTACAATAAGTTCCGTAAGTTTCAAAAATATAATACTCATATACTTTTTATTTCATATATATATATATATATATATATATATATATATATATATATACCCCCCCACACACACACACACAAACTTCAATAGACAATCAATCACTATGTATCACATTAAATATTATTTTTACCACTAAAAATAACATTACTATTTTTATCAGTTTAGACACCCAAAATGTACGCTTCATTTCTCGGTCAGTATGCCTTTGAAAATAAAATTATTATTTTTACAATCAATTGCTATGCTTCTAGCACTTCTTGGAACTGAGAAGTACGCGTCACTTCTCGGTCAATGACAAAATCTTAGAAAATATTTTTGAAAAGTTGGCTTAACTTAACTTGTAAGGCCATTAGTTTCATTCCAAAGTTAGTACAAATCATAACTACCATTTCCAAATGCCTATCTACCAAGAAGTACATCATGCTAAAGAGAGTCTATAACTATAGCTATCAATTTTATGTGTTAAAGGACAAGTAAAATAAACCAAATGCAAAAATAATTAGCACAAAACAAGCAATTTTAAACCTAAAAGCCTCATCATTTTTCAATATTACAAGTTCTTGTCATTTTGAAGTTTGTTTGTATTTTATATATGAATATTAATAAACTTAAATTTGAAAGTTAAACTTGTTTACCAAAGTACAAAACTTATTGTAAAACTTGATAGGGATAGATGAACAATTTGTATGTTTAGACAGAAGGAAAAAATTGTAGAGAAAGTTTAAAAACTATTTATATTTGTAAGAAAAAAAAAATCTATAAAAATTCTAATATGATAGTCTTAAAAAAATAGAAATAAATAAATGAATTTTTCCCAAAATGGTCCCTCGACTATTCTCAAAATGGTCCCTCGACTATTTTTTAGAGTATATTAGGCATATAATAGGTAAACGGACAAAAATGCCCTTCATTTTAACACTCAATAGACGGAATTTCTAACGGAGGACCAATTTGGGGGAGTTTTTAAAAGTCAAGGGATCACATTGGGTGCAATTAAAAGTCGAAATGCAAAATTGAGAATGAGCGATAGTCGAGGGACCATTTTGGGAAAAAACTCTGAAAGTATATATGCCTTTCAAGGCACAAACTTGTCAACTCCAACAAATGTTCACAAATCAACCACTTTTTATAATTTTTAATATAGTTTACGATTTGTAGTAATCACCCACCTTAAATATTATTTTAATTGTAAATATATTTATGTTTATAATTTTATTATAGGAATTCACACATAATAATTACTAAATAACAAAAATTTTATATATGAATAAACCTCATATAGAGTATATTTTTATAACATATTTTCCGTGCATCGCACAAGACAAATACTAGTTTAATATTATAAGACTATTACAACGTCGTCATTTCGCGTGAGCTTGAAAATTTCACCTGCTTCATTTTGCTCATATATAGAGATATAGAATATAAAGATTTAGAGATTTATTCTATTCACTTTATTTTTTATTGAGTTAATACTCAAAATTGTCCTCGACTATAGTGGTTTTTTTCAATTTCGTCCTAAATGACTTTGGTGACCTAATATTGTCCTAGACTTTTGTGTTTCGCTCAATTTAGTCCTCCGTTTGTTATTCCGTCAAATTGGTGTTAAATAAAGGAACAATTCAATAATATCAATATTGACCTCTCTTTACTTTCAATATGTGAAGTGAGAAATCCGTCTTTCTTGCACGAATTACACCAAGAATTACTCCCATACCTACGAATCAAGTTTTATATTCGCAGGTTTAAGAGTGATTTTGGGAGTAATTCGTAAAAAAGATGGATTTCTCACTTCACATGTCTATGAGTAAAGAGATGTCAATATTAAAATTACTGAATTGTTTATTTATTTAACAACAAATGGACGGAATAACAAATGAGAGGACTAAATTGAGCAAAAACACAAAAATTTGGGACTAAATTGAGTAAAAGCACAGAACTCTGGGACTATATTAAGACACCAAAATCGTTTAGGACAAAATTAAAAAAAAAATCACTATAGTCGAGGACCATTTTGGATATTAACTCATTTTTTATTATATCGTCTTCACTGAGACTCAAATTCACAACCTCTTACTATTATACCACAGGGTCTTGGCCACTTTATTTTTTATTCTTTAAACTAAAAGCCCCATATAATTCTTAAAGGCATTAAGGCAATTAAATAAACTTACCTTTGCTAAGGATTGATCTTGTGGTATACTAACGCCAAGTTGCTCTCCCAATATAAAAAATTGTGAATATTCTCAATATAAAAAATTGTGGATTCAAGTCTCCGTGGAGACATAATACTGCATTCTGATAGAGTCAATAAAACTTAAAAAAATAAAACTTACTTTTATTTTTAGTACTAAAAAAGAAGAATTAACTTACAAAAATATATAAAATGAAATACAAATAATCCTACCCTTCTTCCCTCTTTCAAACCTGAGAACATCCATTCGTCAATGGAAGAAGCCAATGGTAAGATTTCTTGAATTCCCCAGTATACTGTGCTTTCAAGTTTTCACTGTTCAAAGCTCAAAAGGGTGTGTTCACATTTATTTTGCTATCCTGTTGGCTGTTTGGACCTCTCACTTTTTGTGTTGCATCACTTTTGTAGTTTTCTTCACCTTTTTTTTTTTTTTTTTTTTTTTTTAAATTTAAAAATCTTCCTAGAATTTCAAAGATTGGGGTTTTAGGCATACCCTTTTGGGGCTTCTGGGGCTTGATCTGCTTGTTGGGTTTTGCGATTGTACTATTGATTCAGTGTTCTTGCACTGAGGTTGAGTTTGATTTATGATATGAAAATTTTAAATTGCGCATCTTCCTCTGAACACCCGGTTCAGTATTGAATTAATCAGAGATTATGTTCCCAGTTTAATATTGAATTACAATTACTCCGTCAATAATTGCAGTACTATATTTGGTTCTGAATTACAAAGCTTGACTACACAGGATTCATAGTTGCTTTTAACTTCCTGCTAAAAAAATTGGATCTTTGTGTAATTAAGTAATGTATAGCCATAAAACAGATTGGCTTATGCTTGTTGTGAGATATAATCTGCTCTCTGCTTATTGTGTAGAAAGCTATATTGATATGTGATGTATAATCTTATTATCATCATAGTGCAATAATAAGTGTTACTGCAACTTTCCTTCATTAGATTTACTCCTTCCTTTCTGTGTTGGTTGGTTATTTCTACCAGCTGCACAGGATAGAGATGAAAAATTTATGAGAAGGGCAGTTGAAGAAGCTTATAAAGCTGTAGAAAGTGGTCAAGGAGCCCCATTTGGAGCTGTTATTGTTTGCAATGATGAAGTTGTTGTTAGCTGCCACAATATGATGTATAACAACACTGACCCTACTGCTCATGCCGAGGTCACAGCTATAAGAGAGGTTTGATATATCATATCAGCGTTACGTTCCCTTCCATTGCTATGTATGTAATGTCTTTGTTATGGAATATTTATTTGATATATGAAATCTCTATAGATTAGGCAGTCTTAGGGATTTATAGGTAGGCAGGCATATAGGAAACTTGTTTCATATTCGTAGTCTTCTAGCACCTATTTATAGAGCTTTGTATTCTCTTTTCTATATGACAGCACATTCAGAAACTCTCCCTTTACTTTTGTAACAGTCTTAATGTCTTACCTTCTACTAGTACCTCACCGTTTACTGATTCCAGGCATGTAAGAAGCTGAACCGCCTTGACCTATCAGACTGTGAAATATATGCGTCTTGTGAGCCATGCCCAATGTGCTTCTCTGCTATCCAGTTCTCGGAAATGAAGGTTACCGTTTTTCCTGCTGTTTCTTCAACTAAAATCATGACTGCCCGTGTTTATGCATTTCTTGATTTCATCCGTTATTTGGTGTTCTGGTGCAGAGGCTCGTTTACGGAGCCAAAGCAGAAGCTGCCATGGCCTTTGGATTTGGATCTATTTCAGATGCTCTAAGAGGTACTGCTTTGTATCAGAAGGCTAACTTGGAGATAAAGAGAGCTGATGGTAATGTGGCTATTATTTCAGAACAAGTGTTTGAGAATACAAAAGATAAGTTTCCTAGTCATTCAAGAAATGTAGATTCTAAGTAAATGAACATTGGAATTTGTTTGTGGAAATGTAATATTTGTGAAGTGTGGATCAGGATACTGTGTTTTCTTTCATTAACTAATATAATGAAATAAATAATATTGGATGTACTCTTGCGGTTTACATGATCACAGTTCTAGAAAATGATAAACTGGAATCGGCAATTCTGGTTTAAATTGTTAATTCAAACTTTTTTTTTTTTGGGTACATTTTTAGCCTTTAGATCTTTTTTTTTTTGTTTTTTTTTGTTTTTTTGTTTCTCTCTCTGTTTAGAACCGGAACGGCTTTGAACTAAAACCTATTGGTTCCGATTCGGTTTCTACCATGCCTGATAGTAAAGGTTTTTTCTATCTTTTTATTTTCTGTTTTCATTATTTCCTTTTAAATTTTTTATTTATTTTTTTATTTTTCATTTGTAGAGTTGACCAATGGAATTGGGAGTGGTGAATCTGGTTCTTGCCTTTCTCTATTGTTGTCAATTTAAGAAGTGGTTTACCAATTTGGAAAAATGGAGGATTTTTTAGAAAAATAGAAAAATTGAGAAGTGAAAAAAATAAAAATTGGAGAAGTTGTTTACTAAAATTATTTCTCCAATTGCTTATCTCATTTCCTTTTTCTAACTTCATGTACAATTTTGGAGAACTTTTATTTAGACTTTTTCAAATGGAGGAGTAGAGGAAAATGCGCGTGAACAGTGCTTTGTACCTTTTTTTTTTTTTTTGAATGCCAGTGCTTTGTACCTGAAGGTTGGCTATTTGAATCTTGCTATGATATGCTATGCACATCGGTCGGTGGTTCCTTTTATTTGCTTGTTTTCCTCCCCTTTTCTGTGCTTGTTGTGCTTTCTTTTGTTGTTATTGTTGTTGTTGTTATTATTATTATTATTATTATTATTATTATTATCTTTGTTGTAGAAATGTACAAATACTATATGAGATGATTGCATTTAATGAAATCAGAAATCTGGAGAAATGAAAAACCGGATGAATAGGGAATAGAAATTAGGAAACTAGAGAAATGAAGAAATGGAAAAATGAAAATAAAAAAATGAAGAAATGAAGTAAACGTCTTTTAATCTTAATCTTAGTAACACATTTTTTTAATTACCTAATTTTGATTTTTAGGCTAATATTGTAGGAAAGTAACTTGGCAACATTAAATGCTGTTGTCATTGGCAAAAACTCAAAATTAATGTACCATACATGTATACTAATCATTATGCTTTTTGCTTTTGCCTTGATTCCATAAGAACATTCTCAATAATTGATTTTTGTTGTTTTTTGTGGGGTCAAATGTGAGGTGGAAGATAGATAAAGAGGAGAGAGAAAGTTTGAGGTTCTTGCACTTGGCTTTTTATGTTCATAGTGGACCCCACCAAAGATGAAAAAGTCATGTTGGTGTGCGTGAAGGGCACCAAAAGCGCCCAACCAGACACATGCACTCCACGCGCTCGCTAGGAGCGTTAATCATATCTTTCTTCTTTTTTTTTTTTTGTCTCACAACTCTTTTTCCTTGTTTTTTCCCCTCCATTATTCTCTCGGCTCCTAAAAATTTGTGGTTTGTCTAAATCTTGAGTAATTGGTAAATGGTAATCTAGTATCTTGTATAGTACTCTCTTTATTTTTTTGTCTCTTTCTATATTTTTTAAATTCTTGAGAATTGAAGTTGTCTATGGTGATGCTTTCACCAAGTGTCTAAATCAATGGAATTGGGTTATGTTCCTTATGTAGTTTGGTATTGCTACTAAAACAGTAAAACTCATATGCTAGAAAGTCCACCACAGATTTGGCCAGCGCTTGTGGTCTCCTTTGTGACCATGAGGGGAGATGGATTGCAGGATACACTATCAAAATTGGGATCACAGATAGCTTCTCAACCGAGTTGTGGAGTCTAAGGGAGGATCTACGACTCAGCTTGAGAAAAAGGTTTTCAGGATTTGGGTTGAAATGGATTCGGCGACTACGGTGACGCTCATGGATAATCAGAGGAATCAAGATGAGGCGGCTATCACGCTTATTATTGATTGCAAATACTTGGTTAAAAAGCTTAGATCGATTCGTTTCTCGCATATCTACAGTGAGGGAAATCAATGTGCTAATAACCTCGCAAATTTGGGGCAATAGATGCCTTGGGGGAACTCACGTGTTGAATGCTGTGCCAGATAGTTTAAAAGAGCAGCTCAGAGTAGATGCTCTTGGTGTTCCGAAACCTAGGATGCTTTAACGCCTCCGGTGGGGAGGCTGCTGATGTACCAAAAAAAATGTATTTAACTTTTGAAATTCGGCCATAAAGAAGAGTATGATTGAATACTTAAATTATTGGAATCTAGATGTTGGAATGCTCTACAACGAACTAATGAAAGAAGAGTATGATTGGATATTTAAATTATTGGAATCTAAATGTTGGAATGCTTTGTAATGAACTAATGAAACAAGAGTATGATTGGATATTTAAATTATTGGAATCTAGATGTTGGAATGCTTTCTAATGAACTAATGAAAGAAGAGTGTGATTGGATACTTAAATCATTGGAATCTAGATGTTGGAATGCTTTGTAGTGAACTAATGAAAGAAGAGTATGATTGGATATTTAAATTAGTGGAATCTAAATGTTGGAATGCTTTGTAATGAACTAATGATTCTAGAATTCGTTTGGAATTAGTTAATTACATCATTTTTGTAATTTACGGTTGTAAATTGGCAAAGTTCACACTATATAGTGTTATAAAATGAGTTAATACCCAAAATCGTCCTCGATTATAGTGGTTTTTCTCAATTTCGTCCTAAACGACTTTGGTGACCTAATATCGTCCCAGACTTTTGTGTTTCGCGCAATTTTGTCCCAGACTTTTGTGCTTTTGCTCAATTTAGTCCATCATTTGTTATTCTGTCCATTTGGTGTTAAATAAATAGACAATTAAGTAATTTTAATATTGGCATCTCTTTACTCATAAACATGTGAACTGCGAAATCCCTTTTTTTTTTTACGAATTACTCCCAGAATTACTCCTAAAGCTGCGAATATAAAATTTGATTTGCAAGTCCGGGAGTAATTCTGGGTGTAATTCGTACAAGAAAGAGGAATTTCGCACTTCACAAGTTGAAAGTAAAGAAAGATCAATATTGACATTACTGAATTGTCCCTTTATTTAACACCAATTTGACGGAATAACAAATGGAGGACGAAATTGAGCGAAACACAAAAGTCTGGGACGATATTAGGTCACCAAAGTCGTTTAGGACGAAATTGAGAAAAATCACTATAGTCGAGGACGATTTTGGGTATTACATCATTTTTGTAATTTACGATTGTAAATTGGCAAAGTTCACACTATATAGTGTTATAAAATACACTTTAAAGTTTGAATTATTTATTAAAATATTATCACGATTTCCCCCTCCTACTCTACAATAGTTAGATTTGGACAAATAGATGATTGATATTGTTATAGGCTCTGGTGCGGTGAAGGGTGAAAAATGCAGTTGAATCTCAATCTTAGATCAAGGTGAATATGCATTGGAACACAAAAATGTGTACTGTAAGGCAAAAAAAAATATGAAACAATTATTGAAAAGACTAAATTTAATACATTATCTTTAACACAAATCATAAACAATTTCAATATTCAACTAAAATTAGTAATTAGTGATTCATTCAAGATCAAATGCTCTTTTAAAATAAATAAATAAATAAATAAATAAATAAATAAATATATATATATATATATATATATATATATATATATATATATATATATATATATATATATATATATATATATATATATATATAACACCTATTATCTTAAAACTGGAAGACAAAATAATGTACTCTGGAAGGCTCAACAATGTGCTCTGGAATGCTCAACAATATGCATTCTAAGGCAAATCGATATGCACTTCAAAGGCACAACATTGTGCATATCATTGTGCTCTGCAAGAAGGAAAAAATGCACCAGAAGACATAACAATGTGCACTGGAAGACATATCATTGTGGGTCTAGAAGGCACAATATTGTGCTCTGAAAGGCATAACAATGTGCTCTATAAGAAAGGAAATATGCTCTGAAAGACAAAAAAATAAATTAACTTACACAAAATTACCATAATGCCACCGCATTTGTTTTTTAAATTGCTTCATTCTGACCGTTGATCTGGACTAAATCAATGGATGAGATTAATAAAATCCTATTTTTCACCTAAGACTTCTTTCTCACTACATGATCCGTTATTTATATATATATATATATATATATATATATATATATATATATATATAATCCTGCGAACTACTGAAAGATTACACCGCAACTACTACGTAATTACACAGCAACAACTCCCAAACATGCCTGAGGACCTTTGTAATGCCATCGTATCCGGTGCGGTGTAATTATGTAGTAAGTGCGCATGGTACAATCCTTCAATAGTTCGCACGTGATTATGGACCCCCTTTCTCTCTACATATATATAATGATTATGTGAACCAAACCAAATCTAGAAGAAGCTCTTCATCCACTATAATTACATCCAGTAAACAATGTGGACAAAAGCTTTAGAGAGTTTTCATCTGATGAGTGTGGAGAGCTTTCGTCCAGTGGACAAAGCTCTTTCCATTGCACAAAGCTTCATTATCTAGTAGACTGGTCCCTGGAAGAAGTTTTGTTCCCAATGAACTAGTCTCCTGGATGAAGTATTTTGTCCGATGGAGCTTACGTGCACCATGGTCTATGTAACAGCATGTACTATAAACTTAAAAAGTGAAATAATGTCGTATCATTTTAATTATACTTAAGTTTATTTGACAATTGCTCGGTTACGTACACCGATGGAGCTTACGTGCACCATTGCTCGATTATTTAGTTTCATTTTCTACGCACACTAGTTTCATTATAGCAACACTAAAGTATCAATTTAAATCAACTACAATTTCATTTGACAATATACGCTCTATTTTTTATAGTTTGACACATTAGCTTCTTTTTTTTTTTTTTTTTTTTTTTTTTTTACCATATTGTTATGTTTTTCAGTTTCATTTTTCACACTCACTTGTTTCATTATAGCAATACAAAGTATCTTTTCAATTTTACCACAGTTTTATTTGACAATATACATTATTGTATGAGCTCTATTTTGTTATTTCATTTCCCCACACACTAGTTTAATTATAATAATGCTAAAGTATTGTTTTAATTACACTCCACGTTCATTTGACAATATATATTATTCTATGGTTCTAAATTTTAGTTTAATTTTTCACACACACTAGTTTCATTTTAACAACATTAAAGTACCATTTTATGTATACTATAATTTCATTTGACAATACATTATTGAATGAACTCTGTTTTTTAGTTTCATTTAGCACATACAGTAGTTTCATCTGAGCAACACTAGAGTATCATTTTAATTTTACTACAGTTTTATTTGACAATCATGATCCACATAGCACTATGGACCATGGTCCACTGTATAACAACCAATAAAAGGATTGTTATGTTGTGCAACTGTGTGCACCATGCATGGTGCACACGGGTCTAGATTCATAATTTCTATACTGTAGATTCATAATTTCTATACTGTAGATTCATAAACTCTATACTGTAGATTCATAATTTCTAAACAGTAGATTCATAATTTAAATACAGTAGATTTATAATTTCTATACAGTAGATTCATAATATATGTACTGTAGATTCATAATTTCTGTACTGTAGATTCATAATTTATAAATTGTATAGTTAACAAATTATGAATATATAGTGATTTGTGAATACAAAGTTCAACAATTGAGAATATGAACATCGAAAATTATGAACATATATTTATAAAATTATGAATCTACAGTATAGATTTTATGAATCTACAATATAAAATTATGAATCTACAGTATAGAAATTATGAATCTAGACCCGTGTGCACCATATGCATGGTGCACATGGTTGCACAGCATAATTTGTCCCGTTAAAATATGAGCGTTATGCTATGCAACCGTGTGCACCATGCATGGTGCACACGATTACAAAAACGACGTCTTTTTTATGTCTGACTTTAAAAAAAAAAAAAAGAAGTCAGTTTTGATTGCCGTTAACGACGTTATGTTGTGCATAATTTGAACTGTATATCTAGAAATTGATTTTTTTTTTAAAGTCGGACTCGCGTTTTTAATCAAAACGACGCCGTTTTTGCAATCGTGTGCATCATGGTTGCATCACATAATTTGCCGTTATTATCAAAAAAATAAAATAAAAATAATAATAAGACATAATTTGCCGTTAAAATAAATACCCTTAAAAATAATAATAAAATTCGTGGATCAGTTTTCTGGGCTTACTTGCACGTCTTTTTCTTGGACACTATATAATGTCCACAAGGTCTATCTAGTCGTTTCTCCTTCATTGTTCATTATTTCGTTATATACACAATACACCCTTCTTCTCTCTTTCAAATCTGAGAACATCAATTCGTCAATGGAAGAATCCAATGGTATGATTTCTTGAATTCCCCAGTATACTTTGCTTTCAAGTTTTCACGGATCAAAACGGTTTGTTGACTTCTCTTTTGCTATCTTGTTGACTGTGTGGACCTATCACTTTTTCGTGTTGCATCTTTTTTTTTTTTTTTTTTTTTTTTTTTCCTGTAGTTTTCTTCACCTTTTTTAATTTTAATCTTCCTAGAATTTCAAAGATTGGGATTTTAGGCATACCCTTTTGGGGCTTGATCTGCTTGTTGGGTTTTGTGATTGTGCTAGTGATTCCGTGTTCTTGTAGTGAGATTGAGTTTGATTTATGATATGAGCACCTTCCTCTGATACCCGGTTTAGTTTTGAATTAATCCGAGATTATGTTCCCAGTTTAATATTGAATTACTCTGTGGATAATTGCTGGACTATATTTGGTTCTGGATTACTATGAAGCTGGACTACATAGGATTCATAATTGCTTTTAACTTCCTGCTAAAAAAAATTGGATCTTTGTGTAATTGAGTATGTATAGGCATAAAAATTAAAATTAGAAAAAAAAAAAAAATTGGGTTGTGCTTGTTGTGAGATACTATAATCTACTCTATGCTTATTGTGCAGCAAGCTATATTGTATGTAATGTATAATGTTATTTTCATCATAGTGAAATGTGTGCATTCTACAATATGACATTCAGTATGCTTAGCTTCTCAACTGGAGATGGAATTAAAGAATGATGTTTCTGACATGCTAACTAAGTGTTACTGCAATTTTCCTTCATTAGATTTACTCCTTTCTTTGTTTAATTTGATTTTTGTCGTCATTTTAATCTCTTTCTCTCTTTTGGTCAGTTGTTGAAGCCAAGGATGGAACTATCTCAGTTGCCACCGCATTTGCAGGCCACCAGGAAGGTAACCTGAATGCCTCGTTTCTAGTTACTTTTTCCTTTTCCAAATTCCGATTAGTGCTCACTTCTTATTACTTATCATTTGTCAAGAAGTAATTGGAGTCTGTTATATAAATACATCGTCATATTTGACACTGCAGATTTCTTTTTTGTTTCATGGCTTCGATGTCATGATATGGCATCTAGACATAACAAGTTGGCCGTTCGAATTTACCGTAGATCTCACTCTTAGATAGAAATATGTGTTAGGATGGTTGTCCTCTTTGCTTTGTTCTTCTAAGGAAAAGATAAAGTGTCTGTTTCCAAAGAAATGGTATATCATAGTTTTGGTTAAATGCATTACATGAAGAATTCGTTAACTTTTGTTTTTTTTTTTTTTTTTTTCTCTGTGTTGGTTATTTCTACCAGCTGTTCAGGATAGAGATCACAAATTTTTGACAAGAGCAGTTGAAGAAGCTTATAAAGCCGTAGAATGTGGTCACGGAGGCCCATTTGGCGCTGTTGTTGTTTGCAACGATGAAGTTGTTGTTAGCTGCCACAACATGGTACTCAACAACACTGACCCTACTGCTCATGCAGAGGTGACAGCAATAAGAGAGGTTTGGCTTCCATTGCTATTTAACGTTTTTTGCTTTTATTGTATCATCGGTGTTTGTTTCCTCTTCTGCCTTCTTTTTTCTATGCACTGTTGCAAAAATCGCGCCTAGGAAGTCTAGGCGGTCCCCAGGCGCCTAGAGGGCGCCTAGCGATTTTTTCAACATTGTTTCTATGTCAACCATTTTAACTTACCGAAGTGATTTCTGGGTAAGAAGCTGATCATCATTTGAGTCTTTTCTCTTGGTTACCGAATTGGAGTATGTGAGACTTTTCCCCCTTTCCCAAACCGATTTAATTGCAATCTTTCTATGATTCTATCTAAGATAGGAGATCTAAGGTTTCTTGTTTTAGCTTCTCTTGGTTGTCGCTAGAGGGAAAAAGGAAATCTTCCTCTTCCTAATCTGTAAGGATTTTATGAGTGTGGCAAATAGAGTTTTGATTACTCTTCTCAATTTGTTAGAGTGTATTTATTGCAATAAGTCAATGGCCATTGAATGGTTGGGCAATGTTATCATGGCGTCGCCTAGGCATCCTATCGGTGGAGACAGGACGCCTGGAGGCTTCGCCTTGCCTGAAAATGGGGAGGCGAGCTCCGGCGTCGCCTAGGCGTCCCAATCGACGCAGGCCCGGTGCCCAAACCCGTAAACCCGACACATTTTTAACTTTATTTAAAAAAAGGTATGACCTAAAAACCTAATAAGAATAGAGAAGAGAGAAGAAGAAACATTTCAGATTCAGTGCACCGAGCCATCGACTTCCCAAGTTCCCAGTCTCCCACAGCCATCGCCCTCGGACTCGGACTGCCGTTGCCCTCCCAGCGCCATGAGTCGTCCTCGGTCCTTCTTTCTTCTTCTTTCTTCTCCATTTTCTTTGGTTTTCTGCCGGCTGAGGCTATTTTTTTTCTTTGGTTTTGGGTTATAAACTGCCAGCCTGCCACTTCTTTGGTTAATAATATCACTGGGCATTTTAGAATGTTTAGATATATATATATATTCATTATATTGTATTTTTTAACTCTCGCCTAGGCGGGCGCCTAGTTGCCTAGGCGACAAGGTGGTCGGGGGGCGTCATGATAATAGGAAAGAAGTACGAATGGGATTTCTAAGAATCTTGTTCTATTTCCTTTTTTTTTTTTTCTTTTCCTTTTTCTAAGACCCGGTAGGGGTGGGGGGATTGGAAATAAAGTGAAGTGTTGCTTCACCGAGGTGGTATGTAGTGAAGCACTCATTGGTCGTAAATTGCTTTGAGATGGCCCGTGGAATGTATAAAAGGGTTATAGAGCATTTATAGGAAAAAGTTTGGAACTACACAGAACGACTGGCAGTTGACCATGAAATTAGTTATTTGTCGGGAGGGGTTTGGTTTCCTTCTATACATTGTTTATAGAGAATAATAAATTAGAAGTATTTGGATCTTCTCTCTTTCTTCCCTTACCACTTAAGATATGTAACTTGTTCTCTAATTGGCATGCCTTGTACTAATTGCTCGCAAGTATATTGTACCTTAAATTTCTTGATCATTTCAACTAAATCGTTCCTAAAGGCATCTAAATCATTTCAAATTCATATTCTTTCAATATAGTACCCTTGCATTATCGCTTCTCTAAAGCTTAATGTCTTACCTTTCAGTATCTCTCTACTTCATCACGATTTACTGATTTCAGGCATGTAAAAAGCTCAACCGCATTGAACTGTCAAACTGCGAAATATATGCCTCTTGTGAGCCATGCCCGATGTGCTTTGGTGCCATCCATCTTTCGCGAATTAAGGTGAAATGCTTTCCAAACTAAAATCACGACTGCCATGGCGTTTAACGCATTTCATTTCACCCAATATTTGGTATTCTGTTGCAGAGGCTCGTATATGGAGCCAAAGCGGAAGCTGCCATTGCCATTGGATTCGATGATTTTATCGCAGATGCTCTAAGAGGTACTGGTTTCTATCAGAAGGCTAACTTGGAGATAAAGAGGGCTGATGGTAATGAGGCCATTATTGCAGAGCAAGTGTTTGAGAATACAAAAGCTAAGTTTTCCATTTATTGAGCAGAAATAGTCACTGCCAAAAATGTGAAATTCAATCCTGATCCTGACTTCACAAAGTTTACATTTTCACAATAATGTTCATTCACTTATAATATACATTTCTTTCAAGTACAATACTATTGTGTTTTCTTTGATTAACTAATAAATATTGTATAAACTCTCACTTCTTACTCGTGAGTCGTGATTGATGTGACATGTTTTGATTGGATTAGAACATAAACGGGTCATAGTTTTAACTTTCACTTCTTACTCGTGATTGATGTGACATGCTTTTTGATTGGATCAGATCATAAACGGGTCACAGATTTAATTCTCACTTCTCACTCGTGATTGATGTGACATGCTTTGATTGGATCAGAACATAAACGGGTCACAGTTTTAATTCTCACTTCTTACTCGTGATTAATGTGACATGCTTTGATTGGATCATAATATAAATGGGTCATAGTACTTCTTACTCGTGATTGATGTGACATGCTTTGATTGAATCAGAACAAAAGCGGCTCATAGTTTTTTCGCTTCTCTCTTTCGAATGTTGAATCTAACATTTATGAGTTTCATGTTGAGACACACACCTTTGTTGTAATGAAATGCATGTCCTTCCTCAAGGTTCATACCATCTCAATGAATACATAAAGCTCCCAAGTGTGTGTTTGCATATACTATTTTAAATGATTGTTTATATTTCATTCTTTAAATTAACCCAACATTGCAATAAAATTTCTTATGTAATCCTTATCCATTTGCTTTAAGAACAAAATTTGTATTTTAAGAATCGTCTATATTACCTCTCAAACTGTTCTCCTTGGATGGCAATTCATGTTGACAGAGTTTAATAGGATGACACAAGACACAAAAGGTCACCATTAAAATATACGGAGTATATTTTAAAAGAAATTTATTTAAGATTGAAATTAGAATTTTGATATATATATTTAACAAATGCACACCACAATTCAATCCATACAAACCGCATCATCAAAACAATCTTTTAATTAAAACAAATAAAATTCATAACAGTTTTAATAATTAATTAATATTAATAGCACGTTAATTCTTCTGACACAAAAATTAAATAAGTCATTAACAACGTAATGAGACATTAAACCTAAATATTAACTAATTTCTTTTCTCCAATGCTTAATTCAAAGCAATGTAATTGATAACTGCAAATTGAGGTTGCCAATTACCCAAAACTATTGGAGTGTTTGGCAATTGGCAAATAACTGTTAGCAAATTGGATTTGGGGTGTTTGGCAATTGGTAAATAACTGTTTGCGGATTGGGTTAGCGAGATTGATTAGCTAATGGTATTAACTAGTTGTAGAGAGATATTTAATAAATTAGTTATTAGCTAATTACATGCAAAATAAACTTTTAAGGGTATAATTTATTTTCTCAAAAAGATAATTGAAAAAACAGCTTTTTAAATTTTAAGGTTTTGGAGCAATAAGCTAGTACAAAAAGTTTTGGCAAAAAAAAAAAAAACCTACTACAAAAAACTGATTAACCAAACACTCATATTGTCTGTTTAACCAAGTTGAATAGCTAATAATAGTCAAACAAGTCAAAATTGACTAATAAACTATGTTACCAAACAGGGCCTTTATGTTGTTTATAATTTAATAACAAGCATGCATATGATTATGCATAACAATTATATCCAAACCTTTAAAATTCAGCAATTATAGGTCGCAAACATCCATACTACAGAATGCAATAATCATGAAGAACCAGCATTCAAGCAACAAGGTAAATGCTAGTTTCAGTAGTTTCACACTTGTATGACAGGTACTGGAATTCCACTGCTTATCACACACTCAAACCTGTTCAGAAATTTATCAGTTTCAGCCCAATTACAAAGCAGAATATCAATGGATCACTTCGCCCGGCCCTCAGAACTCAAAACTATGTTCTCAATTCATTTCCATGTACATGTCAAGCAACTATCTAAATGAAGTTATCAAAGAGGAACAGATCGATTGTGATACAAAGAAAGAAAAATGTATCGGAACTCATTTACAATATCTGTCAATTCCTTCTCAAATACATGTCAAGCAAGTTACAGAAAGTTAACAACTTCAAAGACAAGCCATCAAAGACTGGAAAAGAATCAAACACTATACTGACAGCAACTCTTTCTTCCCAAAAGGTTGAATCCCCAACCCCAAAAGCCCCCACGCCCCGGCCCGACAGAGCATCTGAGAGGATGTAAATCATGGTAACTCGGCTGAACACAGAGACTAGACCTTTGCTTACTGACAGGAACTCTTGAAAAGAGAGAAAAATGTATTCACATCATTACTAGGAACTCATTTACAGTATCAATTAACTGATTCCCATATACATGTCAAGCAAGCTATACACAAAGTTAAGAACTTTAAACACAAAACCACCAAAGACCGAAAAAAAACAAACACAATACTTGACAGCAACACTTGAAAAGAGAGAAAATCATAAATAGGAACTCATTTACACTACCTGTCAATTCTTTCTCACATACATGTCAAGCAAGCTACACAAAGTTAACAACTTTAAAGACTGAAAAAATCAAACATGATACTTGATAGAAAAGAGAGAAAAATGTATTGGCATCATAATTAGGAACTCATTTACATTATCTGTAAATTCATTCCCATATACATGTCAAGCAACTATCTGCACAAAGTTGTGAATATTTCAAACAAGTTACCAAATAGCAAATTAAACTCATTATTTAACAACCATATTAATATCTAAACACATTTCAGAGTGCCCCTTCTAAATCTATCAGCCATTGTCAACAATGGAAAAGTTTTCGACCTAACATAATTATTAATTAAAAATACACCTTTTTCTCCATCATCAGCTTCCCATTGATCTCAGCTCCTCCAATTGTGCCTTTATTTGATCCTGTACCAAAGCTAATCTCTTGGAATAAACCTCCAACTCTAGTATTTGTTGCTTCCTCCACTTCTCATCCGCCATTATTTCTGCACCCAAAGGCCCTCCACCGAAACCCAATGGGATTGGACTCAGTGCCAATCCCAACCCGAACCCTTTCGATCCACCATTCAAATGTGTCACATTGTTCAGTAACTCTTTGAATACAGGAGACAGACAACTCTTCACTGTTTCCTCAATCAAACTCGGTATCGGGGTAGCCATGACAGCAGTCTGAGCCGTGGCCGCAGCCGCGGTGGTGGTGTTGGGTATAGGTGTGGCTACATTAGCACTGGGGGGTGGTGGCTGATAGTGGTGTTGAATTAATCCTTGCTTTTCTTCCACTTTCACTGCTGCACCAGCCCTCGATCGTTTCCTTGATCGAGGTGTTTTCATATCGACAGAATTGGAGTTTGGATTAGGGCTATGGTCAATGAAATTGGGAATTTGGTTAGGGTTAGGGTTTGCATATTCATCTTCATATCCGGCGTCGTCGACGACGGCGGTGGGCCCTACAGGCCCACCGCGGATAGCGGAGCCGCAGTTGCTCCAGATCTTGCTAGAGATCTCGAAGGTAGCCTGATCGTGAGCGCTTTTGAAGACGTACTCTTTCCCACCGCCGATCTTGCTCACGACGTTACGGTACTTCTTCTTCAACCGCCGGAGCTTCTCGACGAGCTGGTTCTTGTTGAATTCCAGCTGCAGCTTGTTCTTGATCTGGTCGTAGAACGCCGTCGTATCGTGGTGGTGGGAGGAATTGGTGGCCCCACGCTGCGCCGTGTACTCCAGGAACCCTTGCAGCAATTCGATCTCGTCCTCGTCCGTCCACAGCCGCTGAAACAGCTTCCGCGAATCGTCGAACGCCGCAGACGGCTTCTTGTCCTCGACGACGGACACAGTAGTCGCCGCCGCTACGGTAATGTTGTCGAGGTGGCGCTTGGAATTCAGCTGGATCGGATCGGCGCGCACGCTGGCCACGGCGATGGTGACGTCAGCGGAAGAAGGCATGACCGCGGCAGGAGGAGCGGGGCGGAGAGGATCGGGAGCGGCGAGGTTGGAGGAGGAAGTGGAATCATCCTCGACGTCCTCCTCGTCGTCGTCTTCTTCGTCGAGAACGGTGGGCGGGCGGTCGAGGCTTTCTTCGTCGTCGTCGGCCTCGAGGTCTTCGTCGTTGTAGACAGGGTGGTGCTGGTCAGAAGCCATGGGGGGTGGGGGGTGAGGGGTGAGGGGTGAGGGGTGGTTGGGCTAAAACAAAGAAAAAGGTATGATTGAAGGAGGGGAGGGGTTTGGGTATGTTAACTGGGTGGTTGGTTTCGTGTCAGACCATGGTTGGGTTGAACGGTTCGTCGAATCATGTGATGTGGGTGGGTTGTCCTGCACGCGTCTTCACTCATATGTAACTCGCGCACGTCTCACGCCAAATTTACACACATTTCATACCATCTTTGGATCCGTTTTACGACTCATAGCGCTCTATTTTACGTTATAAAAATGGAAGATACACACTTTTTTTCCTAGTTTATATGTTTCACATTAATTCATTAATTATTTTAGGAATAAGGTTCAAATTGGCCACTGAACGTAACCTAAAAATGTAATTAAGTCACTGAACAAAAAAAAAAGTACAATTAGACCACTGAACATTCCAAATGTATACAATTTCACCTAATAGTAGGTTACCTGCTTACGTGGTAACTGAGTTAGCATTTTTAATAATTTTTAAATAAATTTTAATAATAAAATTTTAAAAAAATTAAAAATAATAAAAAATGACACGGCGGCCGGCGGCCACCCGTCGTTTAATTTTTTTTTCAATTTTTTAAAAATTATTATTAAAATTTATTAAAAATTACTTTAAAATGTCAACTCAACTGCCACGTAAGCAGGTAACCTGCTAAAATTGATGATAACCTGCTATCCGATAAAATTGCATACATTTGGAGTGTTCAGTGGCTTAATTGTATGTTTTTGGAATGTTCAGTGGGTCTAATTGCACTTTTTCTTTTTCAATTAGTGGCCTAATTGCATTTTCAAGTTACATTCAGTGGCCAATTTGAACCTTATTCCATTATTTTAAAACTGGTTGAAATCTTATATTGATTTTGATTATGAATCGTAAACGGAACCTTTTGGTTTAGTTGTTATAGCCTATAGCCCAAGGTCAACCCTATATGTGGGCGCAATAATTGGTTGGAGAAGAAAAATAAATGAAATATTTATTTTAAGAGTAAAAATATTTATTTAATATATTAGGGGGGAAAAAATATTATTATTAAAATAATTGAGAGAATAATATGGATACATGAGTAATTTAGGGGTGAAAGTGTTATAAGGATAGAAATGAAATTTCTCTCCCTTATTATGTACTGTACTTCATAATTTTAAAAAACCAGTACTTTACCCATGGATGTACAAAAAGATTAGATTAAATAATAAGTTACGATAAAAAGATATTTAGATGTATTAATTATATTGTTACATATTTTTTTTTATATATTTGGTTATTTATATATAAATTAATATACTCTTTTTGGTTTATTTTATATTACTATCCATTAGTCAAATTTATTTTTATTATGTGTTTATTTTTTTTAGTATTTTTTAAAATTATTTTAAAATTTTTTATTTGTATTTAATAGTACTTTTAATATACTCTCTCCGTCTCATTTTATGTGTTGGTTAACGAGACTTAGTTTGACTGAAGTTATTTTTAATTCAATTTTTTATAATATTAAATTTAGTATTAGTATAACAAATTTTTATATTTAGAAACTATACTAAAAGTACTATAAATAAAAAAAATTAAATTTAAAAATAAGTACAAAATATTAAAGAAAATAAACAAAGAAAAAAGTATTATTTTGACCAATGAATAATAAGTAAGACAGATAAAATGAGACAAAGAGAATATTTTTTTAAATATATAAATTTTATATATTCACGTGCCAAGAGGGGATAATTCTTTGACTTGCACTCTTGAAACGTTGTGACTGAACTGAGGTTATTAAGCCTATATATATATATATACTAAACTTAATATTATAAAAAATTAAATTAAAAATAACTTTAGTCAAAGTTCGTTAATTGAATCAAACATTTAAAAAAATTAAAGAATGGAGTAGCTCCTAAATTATGTGCATAAATTTAGACAAAATTATAAATGAAATTTCATTATTTAAATAGATCGGTTCCCGTGATTGTTCAAACAATGATTTATTTTATGCAATGTTAAAGGAGGAGGAGTTTCACCTTGAACAAAGAGTGGGCAAGGGACATAGTGGAAGTAGGTGACGATGGATCACATTTTCGAAACGGCCTGCCAACCAAGGCTGTCTAGTGGAAATTGAGATCATTTGTGTGGGATGTTGAGCAAGAATCGTCCGAAGAGTCGGATGTCAAGATGGGAGAGTGGGTTACTATGTTTGTGGTCACTTTGTTATCAACATGTCTCTCATACAAACAATGTTGCAAAATAATAACCCAACAGGGTAGTTCAAGTGGCAAATAAGCTCTCTTTGTGGGGGAGAATTCTGGGATAACTCGGGTTTAATTTCCACAAGTGATGATTCCTTTTGGGCCAGTTTCTATGTCTCTCAGAGCGAATTGAGTGAACCTGGACCGTTAAACGGACAGAGAAAGACCCGGACTTAGAGCTGTCAAAACGGGCCAGCCCGGCCCATATGGGCTGGCCCGTCACGGGTTGTCAGAAAACGGGCACGGCCCAACCCAACCCGTATACAACGGGCTGGCGAGCTAAACGGGCCAGCCCGCCAGCCCGTTTATTTTTTTTTAATTTATTTTTTAATCGTTATAAATATTTGTGTATGATAAGAAGTGAACCTTTGACCTCTCATGTAAATAATCAAGCTTTATTCCACTTGAACAACCTGTAACTTTTGAAACAAAATTGTGTATAAATATAAATATAAATAAATATATATAGATATATATGAAAAGTACACATAGTCACATATACCCACGTGTAACTATAATTAACTTATAGAGTTTATAAAATATATAAAATAAATAAACTTTATGTTAACTATATAATTATATTAATATTTACATAAAATTATAATTAATCATATAAATAAAGCTTGTAAACATAATATGATTAATTTAACTATATATAATTGAGTTTATAATTATTTATCCGTTATATATATATATATATATATATATATATATATATATATATATATATATATATATATATATAATGCTAGTTCATTAAACGTCAACCAATAAAATGATTCATGAATTATACAAATATATAATATATAATTATGAAACATAATGTATGTAATTATGAAAACATATAATACATGTTCATATGTTGTATGGTTATATATTTATATAAATAATTTACAATTGAGTCTCCGTACAACTACTCATGTACAGGCGTACATCCGGTATAGCTGTGGTATATGTCTAAATAGTTGAGCAATATATGTTTATGTATCAAGGATATCTATATTGATACTTGTTTTATTTTATACCGTAAATCAATAATGAACCTCACCTCGCTTAACTATTTAAAGTTATGACTTTTGTTGTGTAAATGAATTTCTAGCATCATAATTTCATTATATACATTCAAAAAAAAAAATACATTCTTGAACAAAATTATATTCTACGTACTACAGTTGAAACATGCTTTCTAGTAAAGCCGATTATTTATATAAATAATTAAATATATAACCATACAACATATGAACAATAAGTACAATTAGTCTAATTGGTTAGATGTTTGTAGTAGAAGTGAATTAACTTGAGAGGTTATGGGTTCAAGTCTTGCCATAAGCAAATATTTTACACTTAAACTAAAATATATTAAAAAAAAAATAAAATTAATAATGGCTAAACGGGCCAACCCGTGTAACCCACGGGTTGGCCCGGTTGGACCCGTGTAACAGCCGGGTTACACGGGCCGGGTCTAAAATTGCATGACCCAACCCGTCGTAAAAACGGGTTAAACGGGGGCGGGTCTAAAATTGCATGACCCAACCCGTCGTAAAAACGGGTTAAACGGGCCCAACCCGACGGGTTGGGCCGGTTTTGACAGCTCTACCCGGACTACAATGTGTGGTTTACACCAAAAAAAATGTTGCAAAATAATAATAATAATAATAATAATAATAATAAAGTAAAAATTCAAACTAATAAAACATAAGGTTCGTTTAATTTTTTCTTACAAACTATTTTTGTAAGTAGTTGTAAAATTGTTCAAAATATTGTTGAAACCATCTAAATACATAAAAAAAAATTAAAATTAAGAGCAAAAGATGCATTTTTTAAAAAAATTGGAGGGGCAAATCGCCTACGGCCGTTTGTATCGGATAGATCTAAAAAAAAATACGTGATTTCAAAAAAGAAAATTGTCCAAAACGAATAATCAAGTCAAAAAGTTATGTCTTGCCAAAGTTTCTACACTTTGCAACTAGTAGAAACTTTAACAAGTCAACACTAATATTGTAAAATGGAGTATTTTGGTTATTTGATGCTTAATCGGGTAATAAAAAAATAAAAATAAAAAAACGGGTTTGGACGCCGGCTAGCCCGGCCTAGGAGTATGTCGATTCTGGCCTTCCTCGCCGCAGCTGGGCGGCGCCTAGGCACGATTTTTACAACACTGCCTACAAAGAAACTTGAGACTCTGTAAAGACAATAAAACACTTGATCAGAGTATTTAGATTATTCATGATGAGTGACAATTTACACTACTTTTTAGGGGCATTTAGTGGTCAATTTAGAATTGGATTTGCTTTATTTATGTTTAAGATGCCTTAAAATGTGATAAATTGTGTTTAAAGACTAACTTTGAGGCATTTTGTGTTTCGTAGGGAAATGAGGCCAAATCAAGAGTAAATTGGGCAAAATGGGGCAAAAATATGATTGAAGCAAAAGTTTGTTGTTACGAGCTAAGTTGCACTTGTAATAGGCTGCATAACAAGGAGCATTCGTGAACCAGTTCTGCCACTATGAAGGGCATTACGCTTGTAATGGGTAGCGTAACAAGAAGCATCAGAATTTCAGTCCTACTGTTATGAGCTACGTTACACTCGTAACAGACCTTGTAACATAGTCATACCAAGAGCAATAAAAGGAGAAGTTAGAATTTTACAAGAATTTTTTTTTTTTTTTTTTTTTTTTTTTTTTTTTTTTTGGGTTTTCTCCCTAGACTAATTTGGGAATACTTTTTCCATTTTACTTTTCCAGCATCTTTAGATTCAAATACTTTTTAATTTCAATTTCAATTCACAATCAATACTTAGATTTACTTTCAATTGCAACATTGGATCAATGATTGAAGGTTTCAAATTCAATAAAGATAAGTTTTTCTTCATTTACCTTTCTTGCAATTTACTTTGTGCTTGATTATCTTGCTTTAATA